AACGTTCGCTAAAAAATACACACACAAAAAAATGAAAAAAAAATAAAAAAATCGGGCATAAAAATCTAAAGAAATCCTCTGGCGACTCTTTCGCTGGCTGCGCAGCACCATGAAAATCCTTTGGAATTGCTCCCCGGAGTGTTATGAATGTCGATTCAATCGGCTTTAAATGAATTTATTTCGCTCTGCCAGCACAAGTAGCGCTCAAGGGCAGGGCCAAGCGTGTATCTATGTGTGTGTTAGTGGGTGTATGTGTGTGTGTGTTCGTTGCCATGTTGCATCTACGATTATACAGCATCAGCAACATTTCTGTGCGGTTACTAAAAATTGAACCCCATCAATGCCCGATAATTGCCAATGGAACTCGCTAAGAGACCAGAGGCACAAGTTTTAACATTATATATACAGATATATGTATGTGTAAGTATGTATCATCATATATAACATTTCTTACATATACATAGTTATATATTTTTGCTATATTTCTGACCACATTGCATTGCGGTGCATATATGGCTTAACAGACAACATTTCTATAGCAAAGTATCTATTAATAAAAAGGATAAAAAATTTGAGTATTTACTATGCATATAGCGTAATATAATTAAATCATATATATTGATAAAAAAAAAAAATTAATTCCCGAAATTTGCAATAATTTCACGTAATATTAATTAGTCAAGTGTTTAGCTTATTTGGATTGGCAGAAATTAATTTCAATTGATTTCAATTATTTAATTAAAATCATTAAATAATTTAAATTAGTCTAAAATTAATTAGTTCAGACATTTCAGGATATTTTCTATTAAAACACATAAAGATTAGTTGTACATGTACACCTATACATGTATGTATGTACGTACACATGTATATATGTATATCTTATTTAGGACTTTAGTATACATATTTACAATATCTACAGAAAATCTCTTGAAGCTATTAGCCAGCTCCTCACTGCCATCTTAACTTAATACACGTTCATTAAGTAATTTCAAACTTTTAAACATTTTTAATAACTGTGAAATTAAAATAAAAAATTTTATTGAATTAGGCTGCTAAGTCTTTTCCACAATTTTTCAGGCCACATTCGCAATTCCGTTAAAAAAAAATACGATTTTTACTTTCATTGCTTCCAAGAATTAAAGCGAATTCATTAGAATTCGTTTCGTTTATGAGTCAAACAAATGGTAATAAAGCCGATTGAAGAGAGCCAGGAAATGCGATCATAGAATCAGAGCTTTGATTGAATTGTGTGAGCTGTATACTCAGTATCTAAAAAAACTGCGAAGTACCTTCCAGCTGCAAGTAGAGAGAATTGTACACTTATGTCTGAAATCTTAAGGAAAAAAACTAAAAACTAATCACTTAGAGAAGTCATCAACCAAACAAAAAGAGTAAAGTTATTGAGAGTCCTTTTGCTTCCATGGTGTCAATTAAAAGTTCTCGGACTGAAAAGTTCATCGCCTTTGTTATTCAACATTAAAGATGCAAGTCAAATGATTTTTCTATTTCCTTTTTCCTTCTCCTACACAAAAGTCTTAAACGCAATCTTCCATCTGCTGGGTCTACTTAAGCGCCAGCCTCTGGCTAAAATGTGTGGGAGTTTTTCATTTGCTGATTCCTATTTTTCCTGCTTTTCTTTTTCTCCCTTACTTGGGAAATTCATTGTGTATTCATTTCGTATTTTTTTCGTTTTCTTTCTTTTTTTTTTTTTTTTTTTGGCTACAATTTAGCAATTGAAAACATTTCATGCTCAGACATATTCATCCACACAAAATACTACAAATTGTAAACAGAAATTTGCAGTTGTTTTTCTTGTTGTTGGTGGTGTTTGGGAGTTTGTGGTTTGCACCCACTGTGACACTGAGCATGTGGATGAAGCCTAGAAAAACCACAGATTTCTTTGCGTTTGATTTGAAGGTGCCTGCTGGCACTTGGCCCCACGCATTTCCCTTTTCACTTTTCTGTTTTGTTATTTTGTTATTTTCATCTCTATGCTGCAGACTGTTTATTAAATTCGACTTGTTGCGGTTTAGCCTTGGCGTCAAGCGAAAAAGTTTTGGGCGTCGATTTGATGTCATATAATTTTTGAACGAAATTAAATTTTATGCTCAGAGCATTTTCGTATTTTGAACACGTTTCGTCGAAGCAACTTCAAAGAACAGCCAAATTTAAAAACTCGCCTGATAATCAACAATCAAGGGTTACAGGAGGAAAAAAAGGAAGAGATAGATAAAGAAAGAGAGAGATGGGAAAGAAAAAATATCTAGCTGAATGAGTTTCAGCCATAGATGAAAAACAGATAGTAAATGAAGTTCAAATTAGTTATGAAACACACAAAGGAAGCTCAGGGAAAGAAGTCCAAAAGTCAGCCTCAGTGCCAGAAACACAAGCCAAAACAAGAATAGATTAAGCTAGCCGAATATGAAATGCACTTACAAATTGAGAATATTATGGACAATATTCAAATTATAATTGTAAGCCGTTTGATGTTGAAGACATCGAAGAAATCTCTTCAAATTTTAAGCCTATGCAAATCGCCATTGTTCATATAAGATCTATTTTCAATTTAATATACAGTTTACATAATTAACAATAATAGCCAGGATTAGGCCTAGAATTGTCTGGTTTAGGAAAAAAATTATTCTACAGATGGCAACTAAATCATACAGATGTTTAATCCAGCAACATCATCAGGAAGGCTAATCAAGTCCAATGAACACCTAACCGTAAAAAGTCTTTCAGCAATATCTACTACATAGAGCTCACACTGCTTAACAAATGGGGAATACCCCAAGCAGCTGGCATTTGCAAAATATTTTCCAACTTCATTCGCTGCTGGCAGCTGCACGAGAGCCATTAAAAAGTTCTTCCGCAGACCGCTGTTATATTAGGGCTCATGGTCGTCGTAAGGGTCTACATAAAAGATAACAGAGAAATAGTTGTGCAAATGCCAGAGAACGTTAATTGCCTGAGCCTCATTTAATTGGTATAATTAACAACGACAGAAACGACATATCAGATTCAACAACAACAACAACTACTACAGCAGGTTCTCCAAGAAGAGACTCTATTTAAATAAATAAAAAAAAAAAACAATTGCAACCAGATAACAATGAAGCGCAACTAACAAGGAGTTGAGTTCCACTTAAATCGGTCCGTCAGCATCTAGATACACGACATAAAGATAAAATATTATGATCACGATTAGAAGGCGTTGATAGATGGATGGGATGACAAAGGTGCGGCGTATTTGATACCGGGACACATCACGCAACAGTTGTTCCGGCAGTGGCTTGATGCGTGGCATCAGCTCCGGCGGCCGTTCAATGTACGCGCCCAAATACATCGATGTCTCTGGCACCGAGGTATACATGGCAATAGTTTCCGCAAAGTGACGATGCTGGGCGATTGACTTGCAGCGTGCAAAGCGTCCGTATGTATGATGTCCGTTCCGGCCGTAACTGACTGTGATCAGCGTATTGTTGCCGACACGCGACTGGCAGTACGGGCACTTGGCATAGCTGCCCTGCCAGGTGATCCACTTGCCGATGCAGTCGGTGCAGAAGACATGGCCACAGAAGGTGACACGTGGCAGACGAGCCGTGCGCATGCAAACCAAACAGGTGTAATAACGATTGTCGAAGGAATCATCCTCCTCTGTGTCGCTGCCGCTGTGGGAGCCGCCACCCGAGTTTCTTGCGCTTGCGTTCATAGTTGCTTCTGTTTTGCGTTAGTTTAGGTTCTTTAGCTTATAAACATACAGAATTTTCATACAGATATATCAAAACTCACAAGTTCATTAACTTACAATTTCCAATGCTTGTTTGAGCTTCTCAAACAGGGCCGCCCATATTTTATCCTTAGCAAAGGCTACTTTATAGCCCTGCAATATGTCGATGAGTTCAAGGAACACTTTACGCCCATGATTGTCACTGGGCGGCCCATCACGGTACAGCAGCAATGTCGGATTGGTCAATATGACCAGCAGACGTATCAACAGATCCGACAGCTCCGCGTCGTGCACATAGTCGGGCAGCATATAAACGAGATCCGTCTGCAGCACCTTGGCGCGTCCCAAATGCCGGCGATACTCATGATTGTCGAGATCGCGACGCAATATCCATATCAAGTGCTAAAATAAGGTGAAGCAATGTCATTTTACTTGCTCTAAATCTCTAAAAATCTGTATGTATTTTCATTTACCTTTAAACCTTCCGCTGCATCGGGCTCCGCTTGGTAGCGTTTGCCATCGCTGACACCCAAAGCTGCGCAGGTGGCATCTATGTCTGCCAATAGCACAGACATGACTTAAACACACACACACACTAACAAGTACACTTAATAAAATTAATTAATTATTTATTTCACAGGCACGCGCAAAACAAAACCCAATTTGCCGAAATTCGCGCGCAAAACTAAACCCGCAAAACAGCTGTTCGATCGTCTGGCAGCTCTGCTCACGATAACTGCTCACCGATATCGATAGTAACGCAAATTTGCTCACAGTGCGTCAAGTGGATTGTGTCTTGACTAAGCTCTAATATTCAATGCACATAAAACATACACATTGTATATATTTTTTTGCTGAATGATTTAAAGGAAAATGTTTTAAACAAGCAAGACTTATTCGAAATAATACATTTATGTAGACTAAATTAAACAATATTTCAAGTCTCTTGCTCAATAGCACGATCAGTCGGACGAACAGCAAGACGAGCATTGCACAAAACCAAATAAAATAACTTTAGCTTTTTTCCTTTATGAACAGAATATAAACAAATATAAAAAATATATAAATTTGACCATATATTATATGACCAGGTATAAGTCAGACAGCCGACCTATGCAAGTGCCAATGTAGTATATTGGAGTTGTTCTGCTTTAACTGCCATAACAAAAAGGCGTTCTCAATTCGATTCGATTGGAAAGTATCTGCTAACACACACACATACATGCACACACTCAAGCACACACAGACATGCACTCACTCACACACTGAGAGCTTGAGTGCATCTCAAGTAAAGCTTCCATTTCAGAGTTAAATGCAATTTCACGAGTCCAGCATGTGAAGCTGGAGTTTATTTGCGCAAAAAGGTGCCAAACAACTGAGGGAACATTTTAAATCTCTTTCAAGGATTTTCATTAAGCATTGAAGCAGCAAATTACACAAGCTCCAGCCAGCTGAATTATGCAATGGGACTTGAAAGTTTCTCCTGCAGCTGCTGAAGCTGAAGCTGAAGCTGCTGCGGCCAACATGAGAAAAAGCCAGATTAAATGCAAACAGAATTTGGCTATTGCACTATTTAACTACGATATGAAGAAATACGTTGTGCAAACAGGATATGCCGAGAGCACATCCTGTAGCTGCAGTCCCTCTGCTGTTCGAATGGAATTTAATTAACTAAGTAAATGAACAGACAAGAGGAATACTAAACTGCTTATTTTTTTATTATTTGCCTTACATTTTTTTAGTCGTTATATAAGTTAACGTTGAACTGGTCGGAAGTTTAGTTACCAAGATCTTCCCATTTACTATGAAGTCGAATGGATACTTTTTCTGAAGATCCACGGCATCGGGTAGAGCAGGATGATCTTGATATATCCAAAAACAACAATAACTCTCCGAATTACCTTTTGACTCACGTGCAAGCGTCCTCAAAGTGTTTCGCGTACGACCTATGGTATATCCGCTATTTAGATCATCAGATTCATCCTCTTCCGAGGATAGATCATTGCAGATGACAAGTTCATACAGCACAAAGACTGCAACGATAAAAGTTGAGCACAGATGAAATCAAAAAAAGTTTTTTTTTTCCAAAATTCATTTTACCGAATATTAATATGTGAAACCTTTTCATAGCGAATCGAGTGCTATTGCAGAAGTGAATTATAACCAGAGTAATCGTCTAAATTATATATATAATAATTTGACACAGTTTTAATTTTCCTTGCCGTTGGAAAGAGAGACATTATATTGTATTTCTGAGAGTCAAACCATTTCAGATAACCTATTTAATTTACCATGACATTAGAATTTGCCATGATTCTATTTATATTTTAACACTCTATTTGATATATGACGTGCGGTATACTTTTTAAATTACTAATGACAATGAAAATTGACAATGACAACGACAATGACAATGACAATGACAATGACAATGACAATGACAATGACAATGACAATGACAATGACAATGACAATGACAATGACAATGACAATGACAATGACAATGACAATGACAATGACAATGACAATGACAATGACAATGACAATGACAATGACAATGACAATGACAATGACAATGACAATGACAATGACAATGACAATGACAATGACAATGACAATGACAATGACAATGANAGATTCATCCTCTTCCGAGGATAGATCATTGCAGATGACAAGTTCATACAGCACAAAGACTGCAACGATAAAAGTTGAGCACAGATGAAATCAAAAAAAGTTTTTTTTTTCCAAAATTCATTTTACCGAATATTAATATGTGAAACCTTTTCATAGCGAATCGAGTGCTATTGCAGAAGTGAATTATAACCAGAGTAATCGTCTAAATTATATATATAATAATTTGACACAGTTTTAATTTTCCTTGCCGTTGGAAAGAGAGACATTATATTGTATTTCTGAGAGTCAAACCATTTCAGATAACCTATTTAATTTACCATGACATTAGAATTTGCCATGATTCTATTTATATTTTAACACTCTATTTGATATATGACGTGCGGTATACTTTTTAAATTACTAATGACAATGAAAATTGACAATGACAACGACAATGACAATGACAATGACAATGACAATGACAATGACAATGACAATGACAATGACAATGACAATGACAATGACAATGACAATGACAATGACAATAACCATGACAATGACAATGACAATGACAATGACAATGACAATGACAATGACAATGACAATGACAATGACACAATTAAAGGCAATTAAAACATTTCAAATTATTATAAATCAAACACCGTATTAAATTATATTTTTAATCACATTAAAGTCCTTTTCACACAATCGAAAAATCAGTCAAGCTGAAACAAAGGATTTTTGCCATATTTTCAGCGTCCACCGAAACGTTTTCATGGCTCGGTCAAATATTTCGACAGCTAAAATGTCGATGGAACTGCTTGCGCTAAGGGATCTGACAGTTGCCAGGGCAATGCAGGGCAATTCCGGCGCTTTTAGCCAACAAAAACAGCTAGCACAAAGCCAACAAGCACCTAAAAGTGTAATCCAACAGCAGCAGCAGCAGCACAACAGCAGCACCAACAACAACAACAACAGCAACAAGAGCCGACGTCTGTTATGCAACACATTTGTTGGCTTTGCAGCCTGCGGCCGCCATTTTGTCAACGAGGCTCGCCATTGTTAAAGGAGTGAAGCCTTCATCTTGCATTCTGATTGCACGGCTTAATTGCACAGTGGTCTGCCCCGTCCTGTGCCAGATTTCGGGTTTTTTTGTTCTGCTCTAAAATACCCTGAATATAGTACGTGGAGTATGATATGTTGCGTTATATATATTTGTCAACTGGAAGCAAAAGTGGCAAAAAAATTAAGTACACATTTTCCTGAACAGGAATCGATGTAGATATGTCTCTTGATTCACCCTTTCGGTATACAATTTCGGTTAATATATCCCCAATTTAAGCATATCTGAAGCATGGCGTTCCTTTTCTAGACAGAAACCAAGTATTATGTCGTTTAATTACTTCCTTCCTTAGCTCAGCTCTAACTTCAGGGTATTTGCTAGTCAGGCATAGCTTTCTACTGCGCTCTCTGCTTTTTTGTGTGTTTTTTGAAAGTGAAAGCTGAGCAGACTTCTATGAACCGCAGTCGAATTAGAGTCCAGGCAACGCTGTGAATGGGAGGCCTGGGTGTTGTTGTCCGAACCGAAAGACGAACAAAAAAAAAAAAAGACCTAAAACAATTTTGGAACAAATAAAACTCACACCTGAGACTCGGAATGGGCTGCTCCAGTTTAGCAGCTGCTTGCAAAATGAATCGTTGTAAATCAATTTGTACGAATTGGTGAACAACATGAATACAACAATTACGACGGCTCTGGGTGGACCGAAGCGTGAAGGCTTTAGTTTGAACAACGACGCAAATACCCTGTAAGTCTTTAATAGAATAATGAAATTTAAAAACATTCTAGTAACGATTGAATAATGAGTAATGTATAATTATTGTTGAGTTCTGCATAACACTAGAAAAGTTTCTTTTTAAACGACATACCCCATACACAAGTCCTCAAATGCCACGAGAGTTGGGCTTGCAGCGCTTAAAATTTGAAGCCCCAACAAACTGGTCGAAAGCCAACGTAAATTTCAAGGCCATATCAAATTAGTTTTATTTCTACTTATTTTTGGAACAACTCACACGCTTCATTTGGTGGAGTTACGAGTAATCAAGTAACGAGTAAGATCTATAAATATATTAAGGGGGCTCAGGGCTAGAGTGAAAGATAAAAGTGAAACCGAAGGCTAGCAACAGGCAACACAGCAAAAAAAAAAAAAAATAAGAAAGGGGAGGAAGAAAAAACAATTCAACCTTTCGCTGGCTCCCCCTCGCCTAGCTGAGTTCGTCCCCTTTTTCGATTTTTCGAAACAAATCAAAGAGAAATTGCGAACGACAAGTTAATCTCACTTCAAGCATAACCGGAAGCCATTTTATGACCCAATGGACAATGTACAATGTACATTGTATTGAAGGGCAGCAGCTTCTGTTACAACTGCTCCAGCTCCTGCTCCTCCTGCTGTGCCTTCTGCTGCTCCGCCTGCTGCTGCTGTTCCTGCTTTGCCAGCTGCTTACGCGTATTTACAATAAAAAGGCGGAAGCGCGGACATCGGCTGCATCCGCAGCCACATTCAACATCGCAATCGCACAAAGTAGCAACTTAAGTAAAAAGAATTTATGCGCCACATTTCGACTGTTGCCGATACTTCTGCTACTCCTGCTACTCCTGCTACTGCTGCTGCTGCACAATGAATTAAAGTTCAATAAAATAGCCCACGAATACGAAATGTGTGGCGAAAAGTTTTCTATAGCTCCGCTGTTGCACAGTGGTTTGAAAGTATGTGAAACGTTGGTAGACTAAAATTGCAGATATACATTTGGTTGATCAAATTTTGTGCTAAGGGTTCATAAAATAATAATACATAATATATATATAGTAGAATCCGGTTATATCAACTCCGATTATAGCGTCTGTACGGGTATAGCGACAAAAATTCTGGTCCCCAGACTTCTATGAGCAAACTTAAACGGTTATACCGTCTTCTGAGTATGCCGACGGTCGGTCGAGTGTCGTTATAACCAGATTCTACTGTATTTAATATAAAAATAAAAAATCAAGAATCAGGAATCTGAAACAAGTCATGAAAATATAAGAGATTATATTGTCTTTTATTTTCATTCCTCACTTACTAGGAAAAAGAAGAAGAAAAATGGCGCTCAAGATACCGCCGCTATAGCCGGAAGACGGTTTCTAAGTTATAACCACGGTTATCTTGGCAATATCCGTAAAGTCACTTTTTATGGATCATAGCGCATGCATAGCCCATATATATTTAGCCTTGCACATTTAATTCTGGAAAACTCTATGGACAGCTCCATTTATACCGCATTTCAATCATTTTAGTGTCTCACTTTCAAGATCTGTTTTCTAAATTTATGTTTGAGCGCTTGACCCAGTCATAGCTCTTCAACTGTAACTTATTTTTTTTACACTCACTTTACTTACACCAAAATCCCTTTAACTAAAATTCCAATAAATTTTTATTAAAATTCTAAAAAACAATAAATTGCAAACTTGGCCAAATAAACTTAGTAATTGGCCTAATTGAAAGTCTATTAAGAGATTTGCGACCACTGTGCACCTTGTACATCAACCGCATGGCCTTTGTCTTTGGGCCTTGTTGCTGCTTGTATTATTTTTTGGGCGAATTTTCTTCTTTTTTATTTTTTTGTTCGTGCGCTTTTTTTCATGATGTTTGCACATTTGCTCCTTGTTGCTGCTCCTTGTTGCTGCTGCTGCTTGTCGATTTTGAGTTACAAAGCCAAAATCTCAGCAGCAGCCGCAAACGAAACAAGCAGAGAGATAGAGATTGAGAGAGTGGGTGTGGGGAGCGAGTGAGAGGGGAGGGAAAGATGGAGGAACGCGGTATGAAAACAGAAATACCTTTTGCATGCTTCATTGGCGTTGCCTTTCTGCTGAGTGAACATCAAATGGGATTTGTCCAGCCGAGGGGGGCGAGGGGCGGCAAGGCAGCCAAGGGGCCAATGCTGGACACACACACGCATATGTTGTTGTTGCGTAACAGTTCAATGGCGTGTTAAGCACAACCCACACACACACACACACACACACACACATGCACGCACAGTTGACCAGTTTATGTGGCAACAACATTATCCAATAACATCGAACATCGGTTTAGTATCTGAAATATGTGCGAAGTTCCCTGCTGCAGCTGTGAAAGACTGCACTTATCCAAATTAAGATTGTGCCAAAGATTCTATTTGGGAGTCAAGCATCAAACATCAAACATTCGAAATGAAAAATAAAAAATAAAAAATAAAGAGGGGAACAAACAAAAACAAAAAATAGCCTTTGATGCTGCAAACAGAAGTCACATCAGATTTCAGATTTGACCTCAACACTTGACAGCTGTGCCCGCATTAGCAAATGTGTTGAAAGAGTTTGCCTCAGATCTTTGACTTTCATAACTTTGTCAGAGCCGAAATAATTTGTCAGCTGATGCAAATCTGGGCTTTCTGTGTGGAAACTCAAATTGATTTCAAGTTGAACTAAATTTGACATTTCTTTGAT